GATGTGAATATGAGAGTGGAGGCTATATGTGGAAGCTACTGAATATATTCGACGCTGGGGCGCCAATTTCGAAAAGTTATATGGAATTTTCTACGACTGGGGTATGTCACACCCCACGTGTCGGACGCAGGGTTAAAGATTATCTAATCCACAATAAAATAACGTGGCATCATAGCCCTCCCCGCTCTCCTCATTTTGAAGGTTTGTGGGAGTCAGCTGTTCGATTGACAAAGTATCATCCCAAACGTGTCATAGCTAATATCAATTTTACTTATGAGGAATTTATTACCATTTTATCACAAGTAGAATGTATTCTTAATTCACGTCCCTTACTTCCCCTAACGGATGATCCCAATGATTTGGAGCCATTAACGCCAGCACATTTTCTGATCGGCAGCAGTCTGCTAGCAGTACCCGAAAATAGTGTTCCCGATAATCGCAGTAGCCTTGCGTCTAGATATAATCACTTGAAGCTCATGATACAGCACTTTTGGTCCAGATGGAAAAAGAATTATTTACACAACTTGCAGCAAAGGACTAAATGGCAGTATCAGTTTCCATCCAAAATAGCGATAGGGTCTCTTGTGATCATAATGGAAGAAAACACTCCTCCTGTACTCTGGAGAATGGGACGCATTACGCTACTGCATCCAGGTGATGACGGTGTGGTACGAGTTGTAACCGTAAAAACTACTAGTGGCGAAATGAAGCGTGCTGTCATAAAAATATGTTTATTGCCAATCGATTCTGAACTTATAGGTAAAAATTGTGATTTGTTTTGATTGTAAATACTTCATTTGTATTTTCAATTAATTTGAAAGTTCACGACCTTTCAAGGCGGGGACATATGTTGAATTTCTTATATGATACGCCCTTGTCATGATGACAGAAGAAGAGAGATTGTCAAACAACGACAGTTAGAAATGTTGGTTTTTGTAACTCCGTAAAATATACATTCATTAAATATATGCAACAGCATTTTCAATTACCAGAACCAGCAAAGATTCGAGTGGTAGCGATAGGAGTACAGAAATAACAATACAAATATAGTCCACTTCAACAGTAAGGCACTTCAGCACCACAAGAATATACACCTATACTTAGCAAAATTAACCACTTTTCACAAATGTATCAAACAAATTTTTTTGTACAACAGTTACTACTGGTAATAAAAATAAGATCCATGTGATTTGAGCACACGATCTTTGGATCACAGATGCTCCAACCACATACGCCAACGTAAGTTATTTTGAATGTGATTATTGGTTAGTCATAAACGACTTTTTACAGTTGGACTGAATACAACTTCCCCAGTAACTTCACAGGGAATTAATATTATCAATTGCAAAAACTGCATGTGTAAACTTTTCTATTTTCAATTACAATGCTATGCCGTGTCATATTTGGATTCAGTTTATCCCTGTTTCCTTATAGGGAATCTTCAACATTTTTTTTTTAAATTAGAAAGATTATATAATTTAGGAGCATTGCATGAAAAGCTTCAAGCAGAGTATTATGCAGATTATTGAGGCCAAAAGTACTAAGCCTGTCAGTTTGCTTTCATCGAATATGTCATCAGTAATGATAGAAAGCCTGTTGTGGTACTGTAATCTTGTCTGAAGCCAGACTGTACTGAAGTAATGATATTATTTTCATGTGGTGCATAAGAGGTTACTTGAGGGGACGAAGGTCAGAAAAATGTGAAGGTGTATTACATGGAGCATACGAAGTGATATTTGATCTGTCCCTGTCACATTGCTTTTGATGTCGTATATGTGCTTTCTCACCAATCTTTCTGTAAGGCGAGAGAAGGTAAATAACTTTTTGGTAGTTGGTAAATTTTCATATTCATGAAGTAGTAACAACTGATCTCCTGAAGGTATGAGCTGAGAAATATTATTGAAATGGTTATGAATGGACCGTCCTTATTTTTCAGGTCGTTTGGTATTTCAGTATTATTTTTGTATCACAACAAATCGAGAGATCGAAGTAGATCCAAGTAGATCCAAGTAGACTTCAAATTTTTTTGCAAGAGAATATGATCCGCACATGCTTTCCCAGTTCTCTGTAATATGTCATTCATGTCTTGTTGATGTGTAAGCTCTCTTCCTTATAGTTAAAATTATTCTTATGTTTATGTATTTCTTAAATATTTTCAACAATCACTACTTTACACAAAACATTAACGAATTGTACTCATAAACCTTCCTCTTGAATCATTCTGTCCATTGATGAAATATGAATATCCCTTTGCAAGTTTTTGAGTTTATTGCCTTCAGACAGATGTGGCGGAGGGACTTTGTATTATAATATATAATTCATAACAATAAGAGAAACCCACAGGATTTGCAGTTCGGCCAGTTTTCATTGAATTAAGGAAAATATTTGCATTTGAAGAAATTTTCTGACATTTCTGCTCATTTCAAACCGTAGTTGTATATCATTCATTTCAATGACTGCTAACGATGGCCTTTCTCTTGATAACAAATTCTGTAAAATTTGTGAAAAATCCTTTAAAACAACGAAAGGTCTCAAAATTCATAATGATAGAGGTCATAAAATTTCTAATACAAAATCCTCTTTGAATGAATCAGCTTTCACACAATCACATTAGATCCAGTCACATTATAAAAAGGATTCCCAAATCTGCAAGAAATTGCTCTGCCTTTGCCCTTTGCGAAATTATAGAAGAATGTTTACATACAAACTCTCCAACAAGCTGGGAAAACTTGTTAACTTTACCTTATACTTTGTTCTCCATCCCGCATGCCAAGGACTCCTGTAGATCTTCTCTCGCATCTCTTATAAAGAAAAACATCAAACTTCTTAATTCCAAGACCAATGTCATTCCATCTCAGATCGATAAAAGCAAATATAACCAAAACTTTTCTTAGCTTGTTTTGAGTAAAATAGCTAATGGTGACATTAGGTCAGCTATCAGAATCTAGAGCACAAGTGATTAGTTGGCCGAATACAATGAATCCACACTTTCAGTTCACCAATCAAAACACCCTCGATCAGATTCCTCCACACATTCTCTGGATTAGCAAGTACCACACGATTTTTCAGAGTTTCCGGTGTTCCAATTTTCAGAACATGAAGTATCGGAGGCAATTAAATCTTTTCGTTCTGGTTCTGCTGGTGGTTTGGATTCTTTCCGCCCTAGTCATATGCAAGACCTCATTAGTCACAGCTCTGGAAATTCAGGACAGAAACTTCTTTCTTCTGTTACAAAATTATGTAACTTCATTTTTACTGGTAGGGTTTCTCCAGAAATTTGTCCTATACTTTTTGGCGCTTCACTGTGTGCTATTCGGAAAAAGGATGGAGGAGTAAGACCGATTGCCGTCGGTACTTTTTATTGTCGATTGGTAACTAAACTTGGTTGTATGAGGATTAAAGACGAACTAGGATCGATGTTACNACTCGGAAGGAGAATAGGCCAAGCAACGAAAGATCACCGTTCTACCTCTTTTTTGATAGAAAGAATTAGTATTGCTATTCAACGTGGCAATGCTGCTTCAGTACTTGGAACTATTCCTCGTTCTTATTATTTTGATGAGATCATGCATTGCCCTAATTTCAGTACGGAACTGAAACTTCTTCAAAACAAGCTGAGATATGTGGATATTCATCAGTCTCCTATCAAGATTAATTCACAAGTGATTGATCCACCTTCTTCTTTTTCAGCGAGGTCAGTGGACTCCTCAAATATGAGTTGCAGTCCTCGTAGAACTGGTTCCCTTTCAGTGGAAGAGCTTCATGAAGCAAGAGCTGTATCGATCCCTCTACGAAACCCTTCTTCACTTGGAAGGATCGATCGCAGCTTGAGAAATGGTTCTTATGGAGATTCTGTGAAACATGTTCTTCCTTACGAATCAGTAGATAGTTGTCCTGAAAATCTAGAGAAGAAAATTGGTTTGGATAATTTAGGAAACCCTTGCTACATGAATAGCGTTTTACAAGTGTTGTTCATAACGAAGAATTTCAAGAACGAAGTTTTAATGACGAACGAGAACGGGAATGTTTCCTACTTATTCATCAAACTCAAACAACTGTTCATGCAGCTGAAGTTTCGTAAGAAGGTATCATCTTTCCCTCCAACCGATTTCCTGGAGTCTTTGAAGTCCACTAGATACTCGTTAGGACAAGAGGATTGTTCTGAATTCTTGGGGTTCTTGTTGAATACTCTTCGTGAGCAAAACAATAGCAAAATCAATACTCCTGACCGCTCTGGACTGAATGTTTCCGTGCTGCCCATCTCGTCTTGTGTTTGTAAATCTTTTGCTGGAAAAATCCTCACTTGTTTACTTTGTGGTAAATGTTCAAGAAGTACCGAAAACTTATGTGAATTTCTGGAACTTCATCTAGCTTTTCCTAATATGATTAATAACCAGTCCATGCAAAGCTTATTGTTAAATCATCTGAAAATGGAATTTTTAACAGGTGATGATCGACTGTATTGTCAAACATGCGCCAAACTAACTGACTGTTATAAGGAAACAAGTATAGCTGAGGCACCAGTTAATCTAATAATAACACTGATGATTTTCAAACAAGACTCAACCTCTAACGGAAGCAAGAAACTCTTTGGAAGGTTCGAAATAGATGAACATTTCAACCTAGCAGACCACTATTATAATATTCATGCAGTCATTGTTCACTGTGGTTCTGGCATTGAATTTGGTCATTATTACGCCTTTGTCAAAGACGAAACGAACTGGTTTTAGTTTGACGATAGTCGTGTCACGAAGTGTTCTGGCAATGCATTGAATTTATTGGAGCCTATGGAGACACCCTACATTTTGTTTTATAAGAGAGAGGACATTATTAGATCAAGATCTTCAGATGATATGGTGCTGCAGGTTTTTCCGGGTTTTCCTGCAGCAGAAAAAGCAAATGCGCCACTGGAATCAATAAAGTTGCCCCGGAGCGCCAATTAATTTTTATTGTTGTTTTTATTTTATTTTTATAATAAAATAATTCAATTTGATGAAAATATTGTTGTTACCTAGTTAGAAATTCAATCTTACCTGAATAATGTTTAAAATAGAAATAAAACAGTGCTGAGAACTTCTATCCTGAGCAGTTGATACCATCATGTTCTTTGGTTGAAGTAATCGTCTCATAACATCCAACACTGTGGTTTTCCTCACACTGACTTCATCGGTATCAGTAGAAAGAGGTGTATACCCTGTCATAAGGAAATGTAGACGGGGTGTTGGAATAAGAGGACCAAGAAGTTCCATTAGATCATTGTTCATGTAAGAAGGATATCTTGAAAAAAAAAATTTGATAAAAAAAAACTCAATAATAGTAAACGTTTATTCCATGCAGATCTAAAAACCTACTTAGTGGAAAGACAGTTTACTAACTTAGTTATTAAACACAACGATAGCCGTATTCCCTATCCAAGGTACTTGAAAAATCTCTGAACTGACTGGATAGCATTTTAATGATCTTGATATGAAGGGCTCCTCACTATTGAATCTTATTCCAGTTTGAATCGCATAAATAAAATATATAATATTTTATCTGTGGAAGTGTTTTAGGAAAAACCGATGTTATTCAAAATGAAGGCAAAAACCCTCACTACAAATGTAATGATTTGACTGTTATGAGGAGTGAATGTTAATTTGTTGTTGAAAACATACTTGAATTTGCTGGATCTGCCTATAACAGAGTTTTCAATTATATAGATATAATGTATTGCATACATCTGCATGAAATAGCTCACCACAATTGACCGAGGTTAAATGATCATTCATAAAATTTAAGAAGAGCAGATGCTCTAAATTGGATCACTAAGGCATTCCGGAGGTTGATCAAGTGATTTTCATATTCAACAAAATGCTGGCCATCCAAATGATACGATTTCAATAGTTCAAGCACATTTGATGAGGAACCAATGCTATAGATCAGGAGAATACAGTTTTCTACTTGATTTAATGTGAATAATGTAACATATTACATTTTTGATATTTCTCACATATCAAGAATTAGAAGTACATACTTTCATTTTCAAGTATATTTTACAGATGGAGAAGTGTATACTATCACAGAAACCTTTGTGATGATAAGAACACTATTTTGAGCTTGATTTTTAGTTTCAGTGGAAATGTTTGTTGCTATAATTGGTAAATTTTCGTTATGTGGACACCCGGCGATTTTGAAAAAATTTTTGACTGTACTTACGTATTTTGATGCGTAGATTACGAATCCGAAAGAAAAAAGCGGCGCTCTCACTTATTTAAAAAGTTACGGCCCTTCAAAGTTCAGAAAAGGGCAACTTTTCAGCCTTCTTTTTCACTAAATAAACTATTTAAAAACACAAGCATTCATTCACTAGGTCACCTTTACACCTTATTCTTCCTTCTTTAACACTTTTCACTTCAATAATCAACATTTTTCTTATAAAAATGTTAAAAAATGTACGGAGCTGCTTTTTGGTTACATATCACTGTATTTTACGTTTTTAAGGTTAATGATATGGTTGGTACGACTGATGCAGTCCATATTCCTGAAGTAATTCAAATGTTTTTTACCTTCATTCTTTAGATCGTAAGTTGGTTTCTGGTGGTGTATTACGAATTTGAAATAGTAGGCGACAGCAAATACCAACCGCTTTTTTCTGAAATGTTGATTATTGGAGCGAAAAGTGTTAAAGAAGGAGGAATAAGGTGTAAAGGTGACCTAGTGAATAAATGCTTGTGTTTTTAAATAGTTTATTTAGTGAAAGAGAAGGCTGAAAAGTTGCCCTTTCCTGAACTTTGAAGGGCCGTAACTTTTTAAATAAGGGAGAGCGCCGCTTTTTTCTTTCAGATTCATAATCTACGCATCAAAATACGTAAGTACAGTCATAAATTTTTTCAAAATCGCCGGGTGTCCACATAACGAAAATTTACCCTATAATATATTAATTTTTACATTTGAAATTTATAACTTCACAGATCATTACATTCGATATACCTACCTCAAACTAGTAGTTGATACTGACATAATTGTGCTCACTAAACTGTTGATTTGGGTAAAAGTAGGATTCTGTATTTTTAAACGGTCAGCAGCAATTCTATTTAAAGCAGTATTATCCAAGACCACTACTGAATCTGCTGATTCTGTTAGACGTTTGAGAGTCAATAATGAATTGTATGGCTGGACAACAACATCACTGAAATAGGTACTAAAAATACATCTTCACTCACTAGACACTGTAATTTACCTTATCTCATCCAAATTAGGAAACACACTGTATGTTTGCACAAGCTTTTTTGGAAAACGATCAGATAATTTCTCTAAAATATTCGAACCCATTCCTGAACCAGTACCCCCAGCAATAGAGTGACACAACACAAAGCCTTCCAAGCTGTCACTACCTTCTGCTTCTCTGTCAATGATATCAAAAATTTCTTCATTCAACTTTTCACCTTGAGAAAAACCTGATGCCCAATTATTTCCAGCACCACCCCCATTTTTTGAAAGGAAGACATTTTCCTGATTATACAGTTTGGAGTACGGGGAGTTTAGTATTGTATTTATTACCCTGGGTTCCAAATCCAGAAGAACCGCCCTGGGAATGTAGTGTTCATCATCTGCTTGATAGAAAAATACATCTTTTCGGTCTATCCCTAGAATGGGTTGAACTTTGTAAATTTAGTTTTTTTGAATTATCTAAAGATACCTTCTGTTGCGTAATCTTCAAGAATTCCTTCAGGATTGATACCATGTTCGGCACAAAGGCGTTTCCAAAACTCGAATCCAACTAAAAAGACAGCATGAAAATAAACTGATAAAATCACAGAAAAGGTAGGTATTACTTTGATTGCCACATTGACCCAGTTGAAGAGTAATCATTTCACACGGCATATTGAAAATAGAATATATTATAATCTCTACTCAAACAGATTTTTCTGATCATAAATTGTATTTTATATTACTGATATATTCAAAATAAATTATATACAAATTCGAAAAAGTTGACTGCAGGTGTCAACATCTTTATCCATTCTTATTGGTCAGGGTCCGACAGACAGATAACGAACTACAATCTTCTTCTTTTTTATTTAAGGTCTTTGCTTCTATTACGGCGCAGTAGACTAATATTGATATTTTGCATAACGGATGTTATGCAATAGTCGCTTCGTCTGAGAACGTGTGTGTCTTGCTCAACACAAAGAACGTCTTATGTTGTTGATATACATTAAGTCCACGTCTTTTTTGGGTAATTGGAGCTTCTGGCTTGAGTATTTGCGTTCTATCTTCACTTGCTGGTAGGTATTTACCGGACAAAAAATACATACAAGTGTTGAATGAAACTAGGATTGGAAATAAAAAATTTGGATTGAAGTGGGGGTACTATTATAATTTAATATACCTACTCCATGAATTTGCATATATTTTTATTATGCGAAAATTTAAGTTTCCCAGGACTATGAACATGTTCAGGGAAGATGTTATTCTATTCAATATTAATTGATTATATATTTTATTTTCGGGAGTAGTAATAATCGAACATTCAAGGAAATATGATCTAGGGTTTCTGGTTTATCGCATTCACAATTTTGTGTATCGGTCACCCCCTATAGAAATGGAAATAAATGTGCTTTAATCATACAGTGACCTGTTTCTATGCGTTTCAGACTTGTGATTTGTATTCTCTATCCATTGAAGGAATTTCCAGTGACACGTGGTGTCACTGGAAATTCCGTGTGGATCCAACAATCTGCTTCACCTTTCATTTGTATATTTTGTCTCCACTGTACATGAAACTGATTCAGTATTTTTTGTTTCAGGTGAGAAATAACATTATTTTTATTTATATTCATATCCAGTGGAACATTTAGAGAAGTAACGATTTTTGTCAACATATCACTATTCACTTCATTATCTGTTTTTTGAACTCTGTCCACTTTTACAATCGGTACGTATCAACTAAAACTTCAGTTGATACGTAATTGACGCCAGCCGTGAAAGCCTACATCCTTTATTTTGTTTACTGTTTTGTCCAGCACTGAATAAGCATTTGAAAAAAAACGGGGAAAAAGTGATTCTAAGTTTTGAAATGAAAGAGGTACTGGACTGATAAAGATGATTTCAATATTTGATATAGAATAAACCCATTTTGTGCCATAAATTCATTTCATTTATTCATCCAATAGTTTTAAAATCTGTTTTTCCGTTAATCAGCTGTCGCCCCCATACAAACGACAACTCTCAGAAGTTGAGAAACTTGTGCGAGCTAAGGAGTAATATACTTGTACATCAATATTTCAAATAATACATGAATATAGAGTTATCTCGCTGAATGTATGTGTTACACATACACACACACACATACACTCCTCCAAGATGACATTTTGCAAAGTCCGTTTCCACATCACCCAGGAGGTAGGACTGCGTATCATAACCACAAAAAAGTGTCTTTGAAGTTACTGCTTGTGCACTAATACTGAAATTTTGTCATCTTGTATCAAATTTACATCATGTTACTATGGCCAATGAGAGAGAAAAAAGTTTTACATGCAGATTTTTACCATGTGCATGTTTATAGGCGTTTCCATCATTTGAGAAGTAATAATTTTTTAAAAAGATTTATCATTGCGGGAGTGAGCAGAAATAGTCAATATCAAATCATACATTTTATTTTAATGAATTCACAAAGTTATGAAATATCCATTTCCTCGACTATGCAATAATGCCCCCATTGTAAAGTTTTATCAGAATCGGGTATCAGATATCTTTTATTATCTTCAGGGGACGATGGACGACGGAGTGCACTTGATATTTATCGGAGCGAATTAGTCTCTGAGTGACACTCATACATTTACGATTGTTGAGACATTCTTCATAATCATCAAACATGATAACCGTTTTCACAACCGATATTTCAACTCCCTTTGCTCCCCAAATTCTTCAATTCCATCGCAATTTCATCTTCATCATACCCCTTTTTTCTCCTCATAATCACTCTCAGTTGTTAGTACCTTTGTTGCATATAATTTAGAACGAAGTCCAACATAGTCCGTCATCGGTACGCCATTGTTCTCGTCCTCCATCATACCCAGCACTTTTTTTGCCAACCAGTGGAATGTTATAACTGTTTTTGGAAGGATAGTTTTGAGGTATCAAAGCGGTGATGACAGTCTCGCTTCATTATCTCGTAGGGGTCTTGTCGCAGCTTGTATATGAGAGAATCGGTGTCGGTATACATACGGTACAGCCGTCTCCGAAACGCTCAACCATATATCAATATAGTGGAAGTCATAGCCTGTTCTACATATATAGGCTTGTTTAGGAAAATTTGCAGCTCAACAGCCACCAAGTTTTCATTGAATATGGTGCAAGACTCAAACTCAGGCTTAGCTATGTAGGCTCCTGCTCCATATTTACCACTCTATTCTGTCTGATGTTAAACCTCTTCCGGACGTTCTCCATATTTTTGCCGAAGACTGCATTGTTCATTAATTTGTATAAACTTTTTTCAAATTAGTTTGATGCCTTTGTACGTAGCTTTGTATTCAAATCGATATATGACTTCAGCCATGGACTTCAATATCAATCCATGTGCTAAAGCTGAAGCAGGCTTTAGCACATATGCTCTATAATGTATGATATATTTCTCCTTCGGCTGTAAAGTAGCCATCAACTTTGAAAGCTGTTTGGTTTTTACTAGAGGTTTTCTTGTCTTAGTACATATATGTTCCGAGCAAAATGGTAGATCTTTAAGTTTGTCATGCAAATGCTGGGGATATTCCAAGGTCATTTTAGAATGTATCCTACATTGGCATCATCAGAAATTTGAGTGATATCTATGTCCACTCAAAGCCTCCATATGGAAGATATTGGCTCATTGCTCATCTATACTGATTGTTGACATCATAGTACATCATGAATGTCGTTGGTTTGGAAAGATCATAATTGTTGATGTACTTGTTATTTGCATGCGATCTCCTTTTTGAGCAAACTTGGCTTAGCCCACGTCGTATTCCACGCTCAACAAAGAAACATATCAACATCGGTGGGAAGTTTCAACTCAATCCCTGTATACTTCAGCATAGTATCCCACGTGTAGTCGGGTAACGTGAAATAATGTGCAGGATCGAGTTTATGTGAGTTGAGGATGCAGGTTCTGAACATTTCGAAGACATCAGCTAGCAGGATAATATCAGTCTTCATATATAAGTCTACGTAATCATCTAGATTCCGGCAGGTGAAAGTGGTTCATAAATCCTGAGTTCGTTGATAAAAACGTCGGGGGCAGGGCTTATTTTCCAGTTTATTATAAAAATTATCCTGAGATGGTAAAGCTGGTTCATCGAATTGACTAAACGAGTCTATAGAATCATATGACATAACTCCTTTCTTAGTTAACAGTTCAAAGTGTTCTATAGGTACATCGGTAAACTGCGACTTCAGATTGGGGAACTCTGGGAGATACGATGCTAGTTTACCTAATGAAGAAGCCATAAAACGGAACGAGTCGAATAATCTGAATTGAATTGGTGTATCATTAACGTGTTTTGTAAAGGAATATATATTTTTTTGGTTATCGGGAGTATATCAACCTTTCCAGCCATTCTTGTAGCGATGTCTCTAACGATGAAGTGTGCATCATATCTACTCAAGTTATAAAAAACAACAGGAACAGTATGAGAGTCCTTATAGTTGATATTATACCCCTTATGAGCAGCTCCCCGATAGTTATTTTCGTAAATCAGGTGATTGTGATCTCGAACCTTCTCACATTCTGGGGTGAAAGGCTGCTCGCAAATATGATAGTGTGAAGTATGTTTGAATTGTGCTTCTTGAATCCAGGTTATGTTAATATTATAAGGACACCAAAATACTGTGGGCATATCCTCAGCTAGTTGAGCTATCTCATCAGCAAACCACGTCATACAGTCTGGTCCACGATGGGATTCATAAAACGAGAGCAAATCATCGTAGAAGCATTTCAAGTAGTAGCCAACTGCAGCAGGAATATGATGCTGAGGTTTCAATTCATCTCCAGAGGGTTTCGAAACACTTTCCAAGTCGGCATAAACCATAAACAGGGTCCTTTCTTTTTTTTTTAAATTTCAAAATATCTTTCCCAGGCTCTGGCATCTTTATGGCTGCTTCGTTCATTTTCATACAATTGTCAATAAATTGTCATAAATTGTCAATTTATCTTGGGACCTAAAGTAATGCAAACATCGGTCACAAAAATACTTGCAATGTTCTCTTTTACTCAACTGACTTGATAGAAGTCTAGATAGGTTCTTGATCCAAAGAAAGTGAAATTTCATTGGAGCATCATTTTCTTTTTCGCCCTCTTCAAAATACTGCTCTTGCATCCAAAGAAGATTAACGTGTCTTTCCTTCTTATCCTTAGTTAGATATGTTGGAAGAGTTTCAAAGGATTGTTTATTTTTCTGAAGTATATAAATGTTAATGGAAACGTTATTCTGCTTCTCAAAGTTGGGAATCTGCTTCAAAGTTATAGGAAACTGGATACCTTTCAGCTTCAATACCGTTGAATAGTGGGGATAAAATGAAGTACGATAAACATTTTTCTGCATAGGATACAGAGCAGAAACGACAGCCCAGGCGGAGCAAGCTTGGTCATCATTCTTAACATTGATACATGCATGCTTTTTTCGTATCTGAGGTGGCAACTCAATATATGATGATCCTAGTTGAGGAGTAAACTTGTTGATGTTAACCCCCAGATTAACCACTATTTTCAACGCCCAGCCGGAATCACGTTCTTGGAACTCCTCAAGATCTTTCATTATTGGCTCAATAACTTTATGTTGGGACCTTATCTGCAAAGTCGGCAATAATTTTTATATAAATAGGTGCAAATGATTTGTAATAGCCAGTACTCTGTTCTCTGTTCAAATAAAACGTTTTTAAAAACCCTTTTGTGTGAACGAGAAATATAATTTGCGATTTTGAAACCGTCGAGTCTACTACGTTCATTGCCTTTACATCGCTTGGAAAAAGATAAACAACTTCTTAAAAAATTGTTACGTACA